AGGAGGAGGAGGAGGAGTAGGAGGAGGAGGAGGAGGAGGAGGGGCCGCAGTAAGAGTAGCAGGAGAAGCACGGGGAGGCAGAGCACGAGGAGTAGCACGAGGAGCGAAGTCTTCACGAGGAGTAGCACGAGGGTTCCAGAGGAGTAGCAAGAGGAGTAGCATAAGGAGTAGCACGAGGAGTCCAGAGACAGTGTTCAGTCCACGCTCCCCTCAGAGGACATGACGATTGACCAGCTTCAAAGGTTCATCGACAAAGAGTTGGACGTCAGGATCCCCCAGGACGAGAACGCGACCAGCAATGCCTCGTCGGAAATTCAGGCCGACCAGGCATCCGGCGAAACTGGGGACGTGCGGATGGTCGACGGCGCGCAGTCGCCAGAAAGCACTGGTCAGGCGAGCTACGTGAAGAACGAGTCGGAGGTGGCGGTTGACGCCGCGCCGGCACAAGGGGCTCCGCAGGAGAGCACCGACCCGGACGCTGCTGGGCAGGAGGACAACATGACGACCAGGTCGGATGACTCCTGGGACAAGAGGGGCGAGGAGGTCATTGGCGGGGAGCCGACGCTCCCCGGGTGTTACATGCGCTTGCCTTCTGGCTGCCCGAACCATCACAAGAAGTCGACCTTGTGGCGGCACGACCTCCACGCCGAACAAATGGAGGTTGATGACGCCCAGTGTCGGGCGCGCAAGGCATTTTGGGACGAGCATTGCGGCAGCACGGACACAAGGATCATGTTCGTTCCTCAGCCCGAACCCGACCCGAAGGGCATGTCTGACACCCCCCAGGTCCCCCAGGACCCCCCAGGATGGCGAACATGAAGAATGAAGCGTCTCTCTGAGGTAGCGCCTTGATTTTTTTTTGACGCGCCGACGAACCGCGACGACGCGCTACGGCAACACAAGAGGCTCGCAGGGGAGAAGCACCGACCCGGACCGCACTCCGCTGCTGGTTGTGCAGGAGGAAGTAGAGGAGGGACAACATGCGACCAGGTTTCGGATAATATGCATATTGACTCCTGGACAGAAGGCGGGCGCGAGGCGGGGTCATTGGCGTGGGGAGCCGACGATCCCCAGGGGGGTTGTGGTGTGGCGCGGGTTGTGTTACATGCGCAGTGCTTTTCCTGGCCTGCCCGACCCGACGAACCCCACAAGAGCAAATATCTAAAGCTTGTGCGGCGGGCACACACGACTCTCCACGCGAACAAAGGAGGGTCTCTGATTGATGAACGCCCAGTGTCGGGGCGCCCGCGCGCGCACGCGGCAAGGCATTTGGAAAGACGAGCATTGCGGCCCAAGCCCCAGAGCACGGACACCACAAGGATTCATGTCGTTTTCCTCAGCCCGAAGCAGTGCGACCACCCCCCCCCCCCCCCCCCAGGACCACGACATGGAAGATATGAGTCAGAGGTGGTTGTTTTGGGATGAGCGTAGCGTTGACGCGCCGACGAACCGCGACCGCCGACCCCGCCGCTGTTCTTTTTATTTTTTTATTCTTTTATTTTTTTGTTTTTTTTTTGTTCCTTTTTTCTTTTTTTTTCTTGTTTTCCGGGACTCTCTTTTTTTCCGGCATCTCCGGTTCCCTTCTCCGGCACAAGAGGCTCCGCAGGAGAGCACCGACCCGGACGCTGCTGGGCAGGAGGACAACATGACGACCAGGTCGGATGACTCCTGGGACAAGAGGGGCGAGGAGGTCATTGGCGGGGAGCCGACGCTCCCCGGGTGTTACATGCGCTTGCCTTCTGGCTGCCCGAACCATCACAAGAAGTCGACCTTGTGGCGGCACGACCTCCACGCCGAACAAATGGAGGTTGATGACGCCCAGTGTCGGGCGCGCAAGGCATTTTGGGACGAGCATTGCGGCAGCACGGACACAAGGATCATGTTCGTTCCTCAGCCCGAAGCAGTTCGACCCCCCCAGGATGGCGACATGAAGAATGAGTCTGAGGTAGCGGTTGACGCGCCGACGAACCGCGACGCCGCTCCGGCACAAGAGGCTCCGCAGGAGAGCACCGACCCGGACGCTGCTGGGCAGGAGGACAACATGACGACCAGGTCGGATGACTCCTGGGACAAGAGGGGCGAGGAGGTCATTGGCGGGGAGCCGACGCTCCCCGGGTGTTACATGCGCTTGCCTTCTGGCTGCCCGAACCATCACAAGAAGTCGACCTTGTGGCGGCACGACCTCCACGCCGAACAAATGGAGGTTGATGACGCCCAGTGTCGGGCGCGCAAGGCATTTTGGGACGAGCATTGCGGCAGCACGGACACAAGGATCATGTTCGTTCCTCAGCCCGAAGCAGTTCGACCCCCCCAGGATGGCGACATGAAGAATGAGTCTGAGGTAGCGGTTGACGCGCCGACGAACCGCGACCCCGCGCCGGCACAAGGGGCTCCGCAGGAGAGCACCGACCCGGACGCTGCTGGGCAGGAGGACAACGTGACGACCAGGTGGAACGCGGCAGAGGGCCTGCCAGCAACGCACAACGCAGAGCATGCGCCCGAACCTCCAGATCAGACCACCGAGTCGAATGGCACGGCGCAGGAGGACGGCACCGCGAACGCGTCGGGGCGGGAGGACGGCACCAGCCGCCTCGACTTGCCATCCGCGGACGCTGCACAGGAGACGGACAGTGCTGGCACACCATTGGCCTTAAGTCGGGCACGTCCCTCGTCAGGAGGAATATTTTTAAAAGAATAGTCAACAACTGATCTGGGGGCGATTTTTCGACTATCTTTGACTATGTCTGATTCTTTGTTGTGAAAGTGCTGTCTAGCTTCCGTCCAAAATCCGCCTATGGGAGGACACGCCCGACCTAACACTGGCCGCAGAGGACGCGGACACCCCTGACGCGGACGCCCACTCGGGCAGCAGCACGGACGGCGTGGTGCGGGACGTGCCGCTGCCGCTCGTCGGCAGCGACGCCGCCCTCGACCCCGAGGCCGCCGAGGCCGGCGCCGCGCCGGGCCTGCCCGCCGACGCGCCCTCCGAGGAGCCGCCCACGAGCGGCCCCGAGCCGGCCGAGCGGCCCGCGGCCGCCGCGGAGGCCCCCGGCGCGGGCGGCGCGGGGGCCGCCGAGGGCTCCGCGGCCGGGGGGCCCGAGGAGGCCGCCGCCGCGGGCCCGGAGGGGCCCGAGGACGGGAGCGCCGCGGAGGCGCAGGGCCAGGGCGACGGCGCCGGCGCCGCGGGCTCGGAGCCGCCCGAGGGGAGCAGCGGCGCGGGCGCGGAGCAGAGCTCGAGCGCCTCCGCCGCGGGCGCGGGGCAGCTCTTGAGCACGCGCGCGGGCGGGCGGGCGGCGGTCGTGGGAGCCGAGCCGCTGCCGGAGGTGGACGAGGACGCCCTCGACGAGGCGGGCAGGGCGAGGGCGGCGGAGAGGGCAGAGAGGGCGCGGGAGAGGGCCGAGGCCGAGGAGCAGGTGCGGAGGCAGGTGGCGGCCGAGCTGCGCGAGGAGATGGCGGCGCACACCTCGACGACCGAGGAGTCCCTCGAGAGCATGAAGGACAGGATCAAGGCTGAGATCAAGCAGAAGATATTCAAGGACCAGATGGAGGCCAAGGTCCGGGCGGAGATCATGCGCGAGATGATGGCCTCGGCCGACATGGGTGGCACCAGCGAGTCACCGTCGCAGTGATTGGGGGCCCGACGTAGTGCAGCCGGGGGCTCGACTCGTCACTTTGCAGCGCCCCACCGGGCGAGGGTTGGGCGAGCCGAGAAGGTGGTAGATTGACCCTTTCTTTGCTCTCGCCCATGTTTCAACGCCTTGCGTGTGGATCGCCCAGCCCTCAATGCAAGATCAGAATCTCGATCGTCGGCTCCCTCTCTCTCTCTCTCTCTCTCTCTGTCTTTCTCTCTGTTTTCGCGCTGTCGGCCAACCTGTTGTGAATGGTAACCGTCGAAACCACACAAGAGGTTCAATGCGTGGCATTACTGTTAGGACCCTTTGTTTAGCGTGTCGCGCCGCCGATTCTGGCCCGCCACGCTTTGGCGCGGCACGCTATCCACATGGTCTCCAGGCGACAACGTCCCGAGCTTTTCCCATCCCCCTGCCCCGCAGACGGAGCGACGGGCTATATTCGCTCGCAGGGCATAGCCTCGGGATGCAACTCCTGGGAGGTCAAATTCTGACTTCGCCCTGGCCCGAAATCCGGCTCAATCCAGCTTAGCCCCGCTGAATCGGGCTTTATTCAAGGGAGGAAGAACCACCCAGACTGGACAATTGGCGTTTACTAAAAAGCCCTGGGGGGGGTACTAAACAGCCTTGCTCTGTTTGATTCCTTCTTTGGGTGCGTTTACTAAACGGCTTCGCGTGTCGGGGTGGTTCTTATCGGGGTGGATTTTCTGCCCTCTACTAATCCGGCTAATCTGGCGTAGCAGCCGCCCAATGGAGCTTAATCCGCCTTAGTCCTTCCGACGAGGGCCGCGCCCGGAGAAGCTGCGCAGCAGTTGGCGGTTGGCTCGCAGCACGGCCGCGGCGCTCCGCGCGGTCGTCGCGGTGCCTCTTACGAGGCCTCCTCGAGGCCTTAGTTGTCTCGATACGCCCGTTTTGAAACGCAACACGTCCCGTGTTCAAGACGTCCGTGTCAATCCGTTGCGTGTTGGTTCCACGTTTTGGCCCACGTTTTGGCGAACGTATCGCGTCGGACCTACGGTTTCAGTCCACGTGTTGAGCTCCGTATCAATATGCTACGTGTTGCGTGTTGCGTATCGGGGCAGCTAAGCTCGAGGCGTCTCAAATCATGGGGCCCTTGTGTACCCTCGTAAGTATGTCTTTAGCGTCGGCTAGCGTCGATTAGCGTCTGGAGTCGATGAGATAGCGCCGATGTGGCATCGACGAGCGCCGATTAACGTCGATCTAGCGTCGATCTGGCGTCGACTAGCGTCGATTCGCAAGGGCCGACGGGATGGTATGGGAGGTTCCCGTGAGTGGCCACAGAAGTTGGGAGTGCCACGGGGCCGCCCAGATCTCCGACGATCTGATGTTCTCAACCAGCGGTGTTCCTCAGTTTCGGCACTCGGGTGCCGCTTACTGGCCCGCGGACCCTCCAAAATTGATATCCGGTACGCGAAACTGTCCCCCAGCGAGCGCGTTCGGGGACTTCTGGGGCCGCGGATAAAACGAAGCGCACATTGGCGGATGTCGGTGTCTATGCCCCCAGCCAGGCCCAACCGTCTTGGGGCTTCCTTGGTGTCGTCTTGAGAAACTGTGAAGATGAGTGCGGAGACCGAGGAGGAGGAATGTAGCGGAAATAGGGATGATGAGAAACATATCGGCGAGCGATGTGGAGTGAGGAGGAATAGGGAGGAGAGGTGAGGAGCGAGGTGGATGAGGAGGAGAAGGAGGAGAAGTGATGAGGGCAATTCTGAGAGAGATAGGCAAAGAGAAAGAGGCAAACGAGGCGGAGCGCAGAACGGACAGAGGAGCCAGGAGCAGGAGGACAAGGAGGATGGTGGGGGAGAGGGAATGGGTGAAGAGGAGTAGTGAGTAGGAGTGGGGAGGAGGAGGAGGAGGAGGAGGAGGAGGAGGAGGAGGAGGAGGAGAAGGAGGAGGAGAAGGAGGAGGGGGACGAGGACGACGACGACGACGACGACAACGACGCCGACGACAGCAGCAGCTTCGAGCGAGGAGCAGCGGGGAGGAGGTGGAGGAGGAGGAGCATAAGGAAGAGGAGGGTGAGGAGGAGGAGGAGGAGGAGAAATGAAGGAGGGTTGGTAATGATGCAGATGATCAGGTCATGTAATGCTGATGGTGATGGTGATGGTGATGGTGATGAGTATGATACTGGTGATAGTTAGAGTGGTGGGGTTATGTATGCAGATGGAGGCGGAAGGGGAGTAGGTGGAATGGTCATGACGGTTGAGCTCATGATGCTGACGATGACGACGGCGATGACGAAGACGATGATGATGATGATGATGATGATGATGTTGATGAAGATGATGATGTTGTTGATGATGATGATGATGATGATGATTGTGTTGATGATGATGTTGATGATGATGATGATGATGATGATGATGATGATGATGATGATGATGATGATGATGATGATGATGGTTGTGCTGATGATGATGGTTATGACGACGGTGAGGACGATGCCGAAGACGACAATGCCGATGATGATGAAGCTGATGGTGATTGGAATGGCGACGGGGATGACGCTGGCGATGACGATGACGATGGCGTTGGTGAGGATGATGAGGATGTGCGCGCAGACAATTGGCGAGGGCGACCTCATCGATGATGGCGATGATGACGACGATGGTGATGTCGACCATGGCGATGGTGAGGGCGATGATGGAGCTGGTGATGATGACGGTGCTGGTGATGCAGATGCTGGCGGTCTTAATAACGATGGTGTTGATGAGGATGATTCAGAGCATGAATTACCTACCCCGCTTTCGCTTCCAGGCAAAACCAAGTCATACCACGCGCCTCCTCGTCAAGCGGCCTGACCAGTACAGGCCGTCGTTTGGCATCGCTTGGTTTCTCTTGGAAGCGAGGGTGGTCAAAAGCGAGGGAGGTCTGTTTGCCCCCTAATGATGGGGGAAGTGCGCGCGCGCAGAAAGTCAGACGTTCACCATGGGGTTGCCGCGGCGCGCCCGAGCCACCTGCAGCACCCCGAGGCTCTGGCTTCGAGGGGGGGGGGCGCCCGAGCGACGTGTGGAGCCCCGGGGCCCTCCTGGTGCAGGATCGCCTCGGGACGTCGGGCCGCGCGTGACCGTTGCCCCGACGCAGCAGATTCGTACAGTGAGCGGCTTGAGTAAGGAACGCTTACTGTTCAAACGGGGCTCGGTCGTTCCTTAGGTGTACATACAGTTCCTTATGCGTCATGGATTAGTTAGCGTTCCTTATGCGTCATTCCTTAGGATAGAGAGGGGCTTCGTTCCTTACTTATCGTTCCTTAGGTCAGGCCGATGACTGTACCCCCGACGCCTCTGAGCTTCAGCGGGCAGCTCAGGACAGCCCGCGCGGATCTCGGCCTGAGGGGCGTAGGCTCGTGCGCCCTCCCCTGGCCGATGCGGCCGTTCTTGCTGCGCCCCTGCCCGCGTCGGGTTCTCCCTGGTCACGTGCCCCCTGCGCGTAGCCGCCGCTGCTGGGTGAGCCCAGGACATGCCGTGCTGCGCGTTGAGTGCGGGTGTTTCTCTACGCGAGTGGCTGGACACCTGTTGCTTGACTGCGAAAATCCCCCGGACACTCGGAGAGGGCGGCTCGGAATCGCAATTCCTTTTTGAGATGGTTCCATCCTGTTGATGAGGGCGAGGTTGACAGCCGTCGAATTTCAGCCCCTAGGCCCCTCCTTGTCTCTTGCCCAGAAGTCACCCGGCTCAGTTTAGGGGTCGGGGCTCACTTAAACGCGTTTCCACAAGAGCTCTAATTTTCTCAGCCTGGCCAAACCTGTTTTCTCCTGGCCCTATGGGCCAACCTGGTTTTTTTTTTGGGGGGGGGCGTCCGCGGTCGGCGGTCGGTCAGAGCGCGGCCTCCCTCGGCAACTTCCAGGACCGCCCCCGCCGCCGCCGCCGCGCTTTCCTTTCCTCACCTCCCGCCGCTCGCCGTGATCATCTGGTGGGCGGGCGGTGGAATCTTGGTGACGCGGGGGGCTTGCCTGCCTTCCCGCCTCCTCTTGAGGGTGTTTGCGCAAAGCGCGACACTTCCTATGAGCATCGTATCCTCCTCCTCCTCCTCCTCCTCCTCCTCCTCCTACTCCTCCTCCCTCCAACCTTTTTCCTCATACGCATCCCTTCCTTATCGCACCCCCACACGTGTCGGTAGGGCGGGCGGGGCATTTCGCTTTCGATTTCTTGATCTGATCCTGAAGCGTGAAATTCGCATAGCTTCAAGGATGGAGAGCGGATGTTTTCAAAATGTGGCTCTCGCTTTAGCGCCGCGCAACTTTTTCAGGCGCTTCACGGATGCAGGGCGGTCTGCTTTCAAACTGTGGCTCTCGCTTCAGCGCCCCGCACGCTCGTCTTCAAATTTCGCAGCAGCTTCAGGGACGACGGGCGGCCCGTTTGCAAACTGTGGCTCTCGCCTTTGGCGCCGCGAGCAGTCGTCATTGAAAGTTGGCCCGATTTAGTGACGTCAGGGCGCATCAGTCACGCTGATTCGCGGTGCCCAAGCCCCCAAAACGGTGCCCTGCCAGGGCGCAGCAGTCACCCTGATTCGCGGCGTTGACATCCCATACGTTTTTTCGGGGCATGATTGAGGATTTTCAAACGGTCGTTCTTTAATTCGACATTTCCCGCATAGAGGTTAACAACATGTTGAAGGAACCTATAAAGAGGGCACTTGGAGGAACGGTTGATTGCAACATCGTTCATGCACCTTGGGTTTATACTGGTCCTCCTCCGCCTTCTCCTTCCTCATTCCTCCTCCTCCCTCTCCCCTCCTCCTCCTCCTCCTCCTCCTCCTCCTTCTCCTCCTCCTCCTCCTCCTCCTCCTCCTCCTCCTCCTCCTCCTCCTCCTCCTCCTCCTCCTCCTCCTCCTCCCCCGCCCCAGCCAGCAGGCTTTGGCGGCGGCTGGGACGCCGCTGCGGCCGAAGGCGGCGGCGACTTCGGCGGGGGTTTCGGCGACCCGGCCGCGGACTTCGGCGGAGGCTTCGGCGAAGGCGCGGAAGCGCCGTGCACACACCCAATGCCTGGGGGCAACCCGCAAAGCCCGAACGCGCCCGGGGCCGCTCTGGGGCGGGCCGCGCCCTCTATCGGCAGCGCGCCCCAGGGGCAAAATTCGACGCTCTCCCACCGCTCGCCGCTCCCCAGAAGTCCCCCTCCTGCCCTCCTCCTCCTCCTGTCCTCCTCCTCCTCCTCCTCCTCCTCCTCCTCCTCCTCCTCATCCTGTCCTCCTGTCCTCCTCCTCCTCTTCCTCTTCCTCCTCCTCCTCCTCCTCCGTAGCCGTTTTGGCTCAAGCCATTTCGCACTCGAGGAGTGTTGCAGGTACGTACTTCGAAGTGGCATCGTGCCTGCGAGCCATTTCAGTGATCGTGGCCCAGGATCTTACATGGGCTCTCCAAACGATGTGCTGCCAGGCCCGAAGTACCCCACGTGGGGGTGCAAATGCGGGACTGACGGTAATTGGGCCAGCAGGCTCAAGTGCAGAGGATGTCAGCAGCCTGCCCCTCAAAGGATCCAGGCTGATGCCAAGGCAGCCGCTCGGCAGCTCCGCGCCCCATCCCAGCGTGCGCCCAAGGGCGCGTGGGCCAACGGGCCGCCTGGCGAGTCGGCATCCATCAAGGTGCTCAAGGCCGAGCTCAGTGCCTTGCGTGCTCAAGTCGGGGCTGGAGGAGGCGGGGCGGCTCAGCGCCCAGCGACGCAGCCGCAGCAGCCCCAGACAGACCTCACGTTCGGACAGGTTGTTCAGTTTCTCAAGGCCTATAAGGTTGACGATGCTGTCATCACCTCGGTGCAGCAGAAGCAGATCGAGGAGCAGGAAGCCAGGCCGACTTCTGCCATCGCTGCCCAGCACAGGGTTGAGAACTCGAAGAAAAGGTCGAGCGCCTGGAGCAGAAGGTGCACAGCTTCAAGCAGCAGCGGGACGAGCTGGACAAGGCCATCGGCGACACCGAGACCCAGCTCACGGAGGCGCGTGCGGAGCTTGAGCGGAACATCAAGGTATCGCACCGCGTGCACCTCGAGCAGACCGCCGACCCCCTCGAGTTCGGGTTCGCAGGCCTCGCGGCGTCAGTCAAGGAGTCGGCAGATGGACGCCAGGCTCTGGAGGTGCTGCGCAGGCTTCAAGAATCGGCTGCCAAGCAAGCCGCCGAGGAGGCAGCGGCTGCTGCTCAGGCCGGCGCCGCTTCTGCTGCAGCTGGTGCTGGGGCTCCTGGTTCAGGGGGCGCAGGCGGGGGTGCTCAGACTGGGGCTGCAGCTGGAGAGGCTGGAGCTGCAGGGTTCTCGAAGATGGAACAAGACGACTTCGACGACGAGGAGTTCCAGGCAGGCCTCAAGCGATTGTACGACAGCGGAGCTGAGAAAGATGCACTTGCTAAGTTCCTTGCCGAGCACTCGGCGAAGAAGCATCGGCGGCTTTGATGTAGCAGGCGACGATTTGTCGCTGGAGGACTGGCCTCCGCTTGGGGCTGCGACCCTGCCCAAGAGGACCGCTCGACACCAGGCGGCGCGTAGGGAAGCTGAGGCAGCCCCAGCGGACCTACAGGCTTTCTGTGACCACAACGTGATCGACGTGGAGTGGTCCTGCGCCTTCGCCGTGCCCGCGTTGCAGGCTCCATCTCAGATGTCTCTGAGTGGCGGCATGCCAGACCCTGAGGGGAGAGGAGGCGGCAGGCCTCCATCGGGCCAAGGGGGGAGGGATTCAGCCCCTCGACGTCACACCCCTTGGCCCACATCGGCTCCGAGTTCCTCGACGTGTGCAGGACCTTCCGCGTCGAGTGGTGCACCCGCGGCTCCAGAGGGGCCGCAGAGGTCGCCGCAGGAAGGGGCCGAAGGCACTCCCCAACTGGCCCACATAGGGGTTGGGGGCAGGAGCGGCGCTGATGATATCCCCGGTTCTACACGGAGGGCGTCTGCGGCTCCACCGATTTCGGACGGGGTCGGCGGCGGCTCGGATGCTGTGATTTCTCGTTCCCAAGTTAAGCTCGACTTCGCTTCAGAAAAAACAAGTCTCAGGACCCGACAGGAGGACGTCCGAGCCTCCTGGTCGTAATCTTCTCGTTGGCGAACGAGTTCCTGGTGTGGCTCGGGGCTCGACGGAGAGCCGCCTCGCTTTGGACATTGAGGCCATTGACGTGTCAGGCGCGGAGTTGCAGGAGCGCCGCTGTGAGTTTCAGGATGTGACTGCCAAGGGAGCGCATGTCGATCGTTTCCAGGTTGAGTACGGCCGCCACGAGGGCGAAGTCTCAATCGACGGGCCCCCAGAGCTGAAGCAGGAGCCCAAGGGAGAGGCCAAGTCTCTCTCCATCCTCGGCATGAACTCGAACGCTTGGAGCACCGCGGAGACGGTCGTGGAGTGGCTCATGGACCGCGGCACTCAGAACGGCGGGCTGGATGAAGTCCCCGATGTGCTCAGCGTGCAAGAGACTAGGCTGAAGAACCCCGACAAGGCGATCTCAGCAACTCGCTGGTACACGAGGAGAGGTTGGCACGTGGCTCATGGGATGGCCCACACCACTGGCCCAGGTCCTACTCAAAGTTCGTCTGGTGTTGCAGTCGCCGCGCAGCAGTCGATCGCCTCAGAGCCCGTGACCTCCGTCGAGCTGAGTGGCAGCAAGAGTCGATTTGTGATTCGGAAGGCGAGTGTCGGCTTCCCGCAAGGCATGCTGTTCATCTCAGCCTACTCCATCACGGGTTGCGAGTTGACGGGGCCCAACCTGACCTTGCTCGAAGCACTAGGCGAGTTTCTACTAAGTCAGCCGCTGCCCTGGATTGCACAGGGGGCTTCAACTTTTTGCCGTCAGATTTGATTGCCTCAGGCTGGCTTCAGACTGTTCGGGGAGAAGTTGCTGCGTCGACAACGTCGACGTTTTCTGGGCCCAGTTCGGTTACAACTCGGTCTGCGGGCGAAGGCCCCCAGGTTGTGAAGGAGGGCACGGCCCTGTATGAGGATGATGGGGAGAGTGCAAGTGGAGGGGGCCGTGTCTTGGACTACTTCGCGATGGCGGAGTGCCTCATGTCTAGGGTCAAGAGCCTCCAGGTCCTCGTGGATGCCCCGCTGTACCCCCGCAGCCCCGTCTACATGGAGCCCGAGGGCCGTTCTCACACGGCGGTGATTGACAGGCAAGTGAGACTCAAGGCCTTTGAGCATGACCTGTATGGACCCCATCAGGAGCCTCCAGAAGATCTTGATTGGGGCTGGGATCTGGGCGCCGACTCCAACGAGGTTCCCCTGGAGGAGACGTGCAAAAGATGGTTCACGTTTTCGGAAGCCAGGCTCGTCAGCCTCCACGGAATAGAAGAGTCGGAAATCAAGTACTACACGGGGAGGGCCCGAGGGCCCAGGATGCAGAAGGTTCCTCTAGGGGCTCTTGGGAGAAGGGCCAGTGGCGACGTTTCTCCAGCGCCACTACGTCTTGGGTTGCGTTCCAGGCCCTGCTTCAGCGCTGCCGTCAATCTGCCGCAGGCGCAGTCGGCCGTCGAGGCCGCGGGTTTCTGTCCAGCTGGCGTGGCAAGCTGGGGCGCATGATAGATTGCACGCAGCCCGTCGAGGGCGCTATCTCTGCCTCGGCGCTCGTGGAGCTCGCTAGGGACGCCGCAGAGGGCAAGCTTCAGGGGGACTCGGAGGTACTGGAATATTTAGACAAGGAGGTCTGCAGGAGGAGGAAGCAGGACGCGAAGGAGAGCCTGAAGGAGTGGAAGGAGTGGGCGGTGAGTTCTGTCAAAGGAGGAGGCAAAGCAGCGCATGCGGTTTCAAGGCGAACCCTGTCGATGCCCACGTCCCTGCTGAATGAATCAGGCCACCCTGGTTGTGGGCAAGAGGCGCTCAGTTTTCTCCTGCAGGTCTGGGCGCCGCTCTGGATAGCAGCGGGCCGAGGGGCCCATCACCCGTCGTCTTGGACGATCCCGCCCGAGGAGCCCGAGCTGCCCCTCATCTCGGTAGACCAACTTCGAAGGGTATGTAAGAGGTATTCCAGGTGATGTGGTTTGGGGTGGGATGGCTTCCATCCGCGATGGGTTCTGGATTTGAGCGGGGAATATGATGCCAGATTGGTCGACGTGCTGCACCAGTTCGAAAGGGCCCCGCAATGCCTCCTGTTGTTCATGACGAATATAGTGTTCATCGGCAAGAGTGATAGGGGGGTCCGCCCCATTGGGCTTCTGGCGTTCTTCGCGAAGATATGGTCCAGGGTCCGTCAACCTCTGTTCAAAAAGTGGGAACAGGCGCATATGGAAAATGTTTTCTGGGGGGTAAGCAGTACCACCACATGTGAACGTGCGGGGTGGAAACATAATCTGCTGGGCAGCTACTGTAAGAGTGTCGGGTTTGAGTCTGGAACCGCGCTGCTAGATCTGTCAAAGTTCTACGAGCACATTGGCCATGAGGATCTGTGCCAAGCCGCTCTACAAATTGGGTTTCCCATACGGCTTCTACGGTGTCTGTGCACGGTGTACGCATGCCCTCGCACTCTGCTCTACGGCGGAGCGGTGTCCAGCATCGCGCGCGCGAGTGGCTCGGTGATAGCTGGCTGCAGTGGGGCTACGTGTTTGGCGAAGCTGCTCCTGCTTGGGCCCTTGTTGACGGCCAGAGAGGGGAGACCGCAGCTCTACATCAGAAACGTGGTAGATGACATAGCGCTGCAGGCGTGTGGAAGGGCGATCCAGGTTGCGTCGGTTCTCAGCTCGGGTGTCGAGTCGCTGCTCGGGGACTTCGATCGACTTAACCTTCCTGTGGCGGTGAAAAAGACCAAGTACATCTGTAGGGCTGAGGTGCAGAAGCTTCTCCAGGGGAAATGGCGCAGCCCGCCCTCGTCGCGAGTGGACACGGCTCGAAATCTGGGAACGGACGCGGCGTCGGGTTCCTGTCGAAGAGTTGGGATAGCCAGAAGCAGGTTTGCGAACGCCAGATCTCGAGCTAGTAGGCTTCAGATATTACGTGATGCAGGGGCTGAGGTAGGCCTCATCCAAAGAGTCGGGGCCACCGCTGTGGCCCTGTGGGGGA